AAAAATACTCCCCAAAACATCATGAATAAATAGGTGCGATCCCGATTCCCTCTGAAGTGTCATATATACCTGTCCGCCTGCAAAGATGACGGGCGATCCTGAAGGCTTGGGTCGGTAGGGGATAGTGACCCCCTTAGGGGGAGACTGTACAGGAGACAAAGGATGCATCACTACATTACTACCCATGTCATCAAACAGTACAGCAGTTTGCTAGAAGAAATCTAAATCACATTATACATACTGGCATAAGTAATAATACAGATACAGTATGAAGTATAGCAACATTGAAGTGTTAAAATTTTCAATAGGTCCATGCTAGGGATGTCTGGATTTAGTTTTGCCTCATCCTTTGAGCATCTGTCTCAATCTGAAGTTTATATTAAATAAGACAGGTGCTTGTGCACAATTAGCCTAACATTCTTGGAAGAAAATAAGTGAAGCAATTACAGAATATTTAAGTTTTCTTCAACAGTTACCTGTAATATTCTGTGGAGAATCATATTATATTTCATATAGTGCCCTGCAGTGTTTCTTTAAGACATCCCTGGTCTAAGCCCAAACACAACAGCCAAAAGGCCAGAAATCACAGTATTTCACATCATTAATTTACAAGTCAACAGCTGCCAATTCATTGGCTTTATTGCTTTCATGAATGCACTGACCTCAAGCATGACCACACAGATCTGCTTCACACACTCAATTATCGACTGGGGAGTGCCTGCGATGGTGATGGCACGCTCCGTGGAGTTGGGGAGCATGTCTCCAGCCACCTGTACCTGAGCACCGGTTGACTGACGCACACAGATGGAGGGAAACGAGAAAAGAATGTAAGACCCGTTGTGTATAATCAGTGTTTGATGCACTAAATTCCACAGGTAGAATGAAATGGTCAGATGACGCTGAGGGGATTGGAGCTCTCGTGTTTTAGGTTTTGCATCAGATGCTCTCATCTCTGCATACCTCCCGAATTTCCTTGATTTTGCAGCCACCTTTCCCGATGAGGGAGCCACACTGACTGGCAGGCACCACAATGCGTAGGGTCACTGGGGGCTTGCTGGTAGCTGTGCTGTTTGTCATTGAGCTGCTTATGTCCTGGCAAAACAATGTGAAGTCGAAGGTTAATCGGGCTGGTAACTGCTGACCTGTGAATCCATTAGCCAGTATCGTGACCTACCTCTTCCAGCTTTTCAATGATCATGGAGAATGCTTTAAAGATGGCGGTGGTTGGACCTGCCAATGTAATGATCCTCTCAGGACAATTGCCCTCAGAGATGTTGATGCGAGCCCCACTCTACGGACAAAAAGAAAAGCAAAGAATTGAAAAAAAGACATTTGGAAGATTAGTAAAAAAATTTAAAAAACCTGTGTAAATCTGCCAACTGTGTCCTCTTGGTAAATATAACATTACAGCACATATTGTACTGGGCCATAACTACAGTAAAGAAATAGAAAGAAAAGACCTTACCTCTTCTCTCATCTTCTTCACAGATTCACCTTTCTATTAGCGGAGGATCACAAAGTCAGATTCATCATCACTTTAAAAATACACATCTTCAAATAATGATAAAAATTCAAAATCAGTCATATCGAGCAGCCGCTTACCTTTCCGATAATACTTCCAACTTCCTAATAAATAGGAAAAGAGATAAAGTCCTGTTAGGGCAAATAATCATCTTTTCACACCTTTCACTTTTTAATACCACAGATTAGGACACATTCAACCTCTCTCGCTATGGCTTTCTTAGTTTATCTGGCAATGAAGAACCTTCAATGAATAAATCCATATAGCTTCCCAAAACTTGGACAAGAATAAAAGTGTCACTGGAAGTGCACATCCTTCAGAAATTACTCAATGCTTATGGGCACGAGATCTAATCCATAATAATAATAATTCAGGATGCTTCCACTGATCAGCTTCTGATCAAAACAGGACAACAAATGTAGCTTAGTCTTTTACATTTAGGAAAATGCTCAAACAGCCTAATACATCATGAATTCCAAAGAACTACACCACAGGCAGATTTTGTTTCTGTCTAATCCCACACAGACTTTAAAATGGCACAGTTGACCACAGTGAGACCCAGGATGCAGTCAAGCACACAGTATCTGTAGGCTGCTAATGCACAGCCAGAGCAGCTGGGGCCTGTTTTAGGATGCTACAAGCTAGCAGAGCTATTGGAGGATAACTTTTTGGATGTATCATAGTTTGATTTGAAAGCCTTATAAGCTGACGTGTCAGAGTTAGATTTTGAGCAGCTGCAGCTTGCCACATGGCATCTCAGCATTTGAAACCCCTATAACAACAGGTCACTGTGAAACTCTGCAACAAGTGTGTGGCTATGGCACTATTGTAAAAGCCACGTGGATTAGTGACTACTGTAAATGCAATGTCAGGCAGGTCATGTTTGCAGATTTTACCAAGTGTTTGATAGAGATGTAGAAATGGCTGTTTGTAAAATTATTTGATCTTTGAAGCTGCTGTGTGATTATTTAAAGAGGAATGCAGGGGGAGGAGATATCTCTAACATTTTTTAGTTTAGAGGACATAACTGCTGACTTCAAAGGGTGACAAGAAAGTATTTCTGAAATAATTAAACAATAGCAAAGAGGAATATATTAATATTTTAGTACAGTGAGTCCAACTTGATAGGTAACAGATTCAGACATGTGGCAAACATCATCTCTTATGTGCAAGTCCCCGTTGTAACACATCAAAACACCATTCTGCTTTGCTTTGAGATACAGGATCCCATCACCATGCCAATACCCTTACTCTTCACATCAAAGTCCCTGCCCTTTACCATCCCCAAAGGACTTCATTTCCATAAATATAACGTCATAGGCTATTAGAGTGCCAACACAAGCAGCTGATGGGTGACCTCACCTTGCCATGCATGAGCAGCCTAATGGTAAGGGTGACATTGAGCCCTCCTTCAATCACACCGGAGTCCATAACTGCAACTGCAACCTAGCCGTCCGTATAGAACTGGGGTCTTTGGTCACCGAGATGGATCTAAAGGGACACACAGACAAGAAATTATATACCAAGGTTGATTATGTGACGAGACTGAATTGGGTAAAGAAAAAACACACAACGTGAATGCAGATTAGGGGTAACAAATGTAAGACAGGTGGTACGCTTTTATCCCATGTATGAAAGTGGTCTGTTAACACTGACTTATACATCATAAAAAAAGGTGGTTAACAATTAAGGTCTCTGTTGTATAAACGTACAACAACATTCATATCCATGGTGAGCTAATAATACATCCTAGGACTGACTTATATATTATTCATTTTCTGACCTATTGTGTTTTCATGATTCTTGAGAGTACAGATACAATGTTGGTTAAAAGTCACAGATTTAAAGGTCATCATGACACAGTATTTGAAGGCTCCTATCTTACTAATTTTATGACAAACTAAAACATTCAGTTCAGTCACAATAGACCATGTCACATCCTTTGGCTGAATGTGCAAAGTTGGATGACAAATTAAAAAATATATGATGCTATACATGTTGGTTTTCAATAAGACAGATTTCCCCTTCGGAAATAAATATGAACCTTTCCATAAAGTATATGATAAATCTGTGCCACAGCCTATGCTAACGATAATGCCAATGAAAGCTGATGCGTACTACGATGTATCAGAAAATAAATAGCTAAGTGCTCACTTTCACTGTCCCAACTACATGCTGCTGGTTGGGCGCATTTTATTTTCAAACATCTAAATGATGCTCTGACCCAAGTTATACGACTCCAAACAAGTAAATTAGCGCTGAATCCATCTCAATGCTAACTGGAAAACATATGGGTCGTGTGCTAACGATGCCTTCATCATTAGCTATGAATCAAGTTTATCAACAAACATGCGGACGATGTATCCCCCATAAGCACAGTTAGAGCTATATTTCGTAACATTCACTCACAAGTATGTTCGGTATGAAAAGCAAATATATTAACTGCTGACTACGCTTATGTTTTTAAGTTTAAAGTAAGTCCATTTAACTATTAATGCTTGTTCTAAGTCAGTTAGCCGATTAGCATTTTGGTTGCTCACCGTGTTGGGAAAATGAATGGAGCATGCGTGCGCTACTTAGCAATGCTAGCTACTTCGCTAAATTGCTCAACGTTATTAATAGCTGTCGAAATAACGGCACCTTTCATGGCATGGTAATAACGTCCTCTTTTGATCTAGTACAAGTACTAAACGGGAGACAGCATTTTTTAAAGGCGACATTAAAATCAAACTTCCCCGTGGTGAGACTGCGTGCTCATCGCCGTGCGGCCTGTTAGCACGCTGCTGGACGAGCAGCCGCTAGCTGCTGGGCGCGATTTCTTTCCGCTACTTCTGATCATAACAACAAATATAAAAACAGCGAACATCAAAATAAAACTCACCTGACTCCTGCGCTGGTAGTGACCGGGGGGAGGGTTGGGGTTGTAAGGGTAGAGGGGAGAGGTTCGGGAGGGTAGAAACCCGGGGGAGAGTTTAGAGAGGACTCGGGGAAGAGGGAAGAGTGATGTGAGATCGAGCTCCACTCCTTTACACAAAGACAACAAAATCATCACCTCTGAACTTTCCCCTTTCACCCAACCCAAACCCCCATCCGAGTATGACCCGAGGACGCCCCAAAATCACGTCCCTAATAAAAAAGTTATAGCAGCACATTCGAGCGACATTATGCTACAATATGGCAGGTTAAATGCAAGAATGTCATTAAAAAAAACAAGTTATTGCGTATAATAGAAACATTATTGCATTGTTTTTAAAACAGCAAGGAGCTGCTGTCTAAAGTAACCGATGACCGACATGTTTTACACGTATTTAAGCATTATTTATCAAATAGACGTATGCTTCATAAGTGTGTCTGATATGTTCATATTTACAAACTTCAATAAAATACTAATTTATAGGGCCACTAGTGGGCGCAAAGTGTATTGCAACTGTTTATAACTTCAATTATTTATTATCCTGGGAACACAAACATCTTAGACTTCTCATTTACACGTATTTATTAAGCAGGATTAATTGAAGGTCCTTTATATGTAATTACAATTAGTGCAGATACAAAGCAGTGAAGATTGGTGTTTTTCTGCAGTCATGTACAGTGATAAACATAAAATTAAAAAAGAAAAAAAAATCAGTAGGCCTAAATGAAGACATTCATCAGTATCATCTCCACCTCTAAGTTAATCTTTCTGAGAAAGAAAAAACATATTTACATTTTTTTTGGTTTTACTAAATCACAATGTTAGATTTTCTCTAAAATCCGAAGATTAATCTGTCTATTAAGAAAGTTGTGTGCAGATTGCTGTATTCCCTCTTCAGAATATTTCAATATGTTTGCACACTAGTGTATGTATTTTTACTATTAAACAGAAAACATAAATACAGAAAGTTTGACATGAACACCATAAAAATCATGAAATGTTAGAGTGCCAATAAAGATTAATGCTGTGTGGATGCTCACATCCTATGCATACATTTTTAGTGTTGTAGCATATAATAGATATGATAAAATACTATATTTTCCATAAATCCTGTTAAAAGTGAAAACAATTGTGTTTGAGTGTTTATGATTTATACTGAGGCTGCTCTTTTGTGAAGCAGCATTTCTGAGAAAGCCGTGTCTTTCGAACTGGTGGTCTCAGTCTGAGTCACTGCTACTGCTGCTGCTACTGCTGCTGCTGGAGGACTGTGGAGAAAAAGAGAAAAAAATTATATGTGTTTAATTTCATTTAAGCTGCATTATACAAATGCAAACTTTGCAATACAATCGTTATGATCTAGGTGAAAGGTTGGGAATAACCACCCATTATTCATTAAGTAGACAGGGTTATATGAGTCATGCAATGGTCAAGTGGAAGGAATGTTATTATCATCTATTTTCAAGGCTCGGTGGCTACAAATCTGTCGTAAGTGATTGTAATGGATCATAGATTTTCAGTTTCATCTCGCCGACAATCTTCCCAGAAGATCAAAAAGAGGTGTTTAAGATGAAGGTTTTAATCTGTAAATTCTCAGCCCAGTTTTTTTTTTTTTTTTTTTACCTGTATTATTCTCATTATTCTATGGTTATAAAATGGGAAAATAGAATTGAGATGTATATATGTGCTTGCATAGGGTTTTGCCATACAAACCCAGTTGCTTTGTCATGTATAAATTCCCAGATGTCTTTAGAGGTCACTATATCAAAACTGTTTTGTAGCAGTGCATATCACTGCTAATGTGAGGTTTTTACCTGGTGAATTAGTCAATGCTTGCTGAGTTTGACATGATAAATCTCCTGAGTAATTATGAATAATTTAATGTAATGAAAAATTGATTAGATTTTCTGCCTGACAGAAAAGTACATTTTAACAAATCAATTAGCCATTTAATGTTTTTTTCACAATTTTCTTACTATTTGGCTGGATAATCAATGTTTAAATTAATCTTGCAGTTGCAGTGTCATATACAACACACAAGGTATGGAGAAGGAATTACTTCTATTACATTACTATCTCTCAGTTTTGTTATACTTTGTTGTTATATCAGGTTTATATCAGGTTTCATAATAAATTCTAATGAGTATTAATCTTAATTACAATAATACATAATAACAATACTAATATAACCCTTTTCCAGTAGAATGGAAATCATGTTAATTCCCAACAGTACTGCGTTTCACTGGCTGTGCTGCACTTTGCACTAGTAAAATCATTAGTGCAATCATATTGTTCGGTGACAGGTTGTGTTTGCAGACTGAAATGACATGGGAGACCTGGGGATCACGGGCGTTGGCAGGTTCAAGTTACATCTTTTTATCTAGTTTTAGCATTAATGTTTCACCTGAAGGAGGGGCCATTATCAACAACTCTTTCACGGTTTACCTTTATACCCAGTCTCACCTTGCCGTGTTTGTGGTGCCCATGCTTGTGGCTCTTATGTCCTTTCTTCATCTTCTTCTTCATCTTTTTGTGGGCTTTGTGTCCAACCATCCCCATTCCCGCTCCTGCCAATCCTCCGGCTAACGCTCCAGCCATTGGATTCATCCCTCCATGATGACCTTTATGGTGACCCCCTTTTGGAGAGTGTGGGTATGGTCCTGGGTGAACACCTCCAGGAGGGACCACTGGATATCCACCTGGAGCCATAGGGTAAGGATGAGGTCCTGGAGCTCCATAAGGCATCACCCCAGGAGGTGCATTTGGTACCATAGCTGGGTTCATACCAGCTGGGTACTGGCCAGATGGGTAAGCTGGATTTGGAGGCTGGGGGAAGACTCCTGAAGCAGGTGCAGTAGGATATGCAGGGTTGTAACCAGGAGGGTAGGCAGGGTTTGGTGGTCCCACTGGAGGGGGAGGTCCTGATACACATAAAAGTAGATGCACACCTTATACTTAAGAACACTTGTATTATAAAACAGGTATAAACAAGTCATGAAACATGCTGGTTATGTGTGATATCCCACCTTGATTTGGCCACATGTTTTTTGACCTGGCAGGTCAAACACTTCAGGGAGAAACCTGCAGAAACTGAAAAATGAAATGCAGTGAATATTTAGTAACATTGCATTACATGTATAAAAAAAAAAAAAAAAAAAAACAGTTTGTCAACAGTCCTGTGGTTGATCATGTGAGATGATACCTTGAGTATTTGTCACTACATCTAGTTGTTATACAGTGTGTATCTGCTGCATGCTGCATAAACCAAGTATTGTAGGTTATGCGCTTACTTTGTTATAAAACTTTATTACAACTAACAAAACACTTGAATCACAAAATCACAGGTCATAACATCATGTCTAAATGATGGTCTAATCCCTCAATAACCACCTGTAATATCGCAACATTTTCTCCATTTAACTCTGTGTTGCAGGTATGATATGACAGAAATCACAAAAAACAGATGTAACTCATCTGAATGTTGTAGTTTCAGCTTTTTTTGTTCCATACACGCCACGTGTAATCACTGTTTGACAATGGTTAGATTTCAAAGGCTTACCTTGGAAACTTGCCTCGGGTCTGTGTAAGTTTCTCAAGAATTCAGACTAAGCTTCGTCTGTGTTTTTCTTCCGCATTGAACTGAACAGAAGCAGCAAAAAAAAAAAAAAAGCATCAGGAAGCCACGCCCGTTGTTACGCACATTACGCAATGACGAAATTCCTGTAGTCTTTGAATGAGAAGCTGATCTACTAGTTTCTATGGTACAAAACACAATGATAATAGCATGACAGGCAGGGGGCACACGCACGCACGCACGCGCGCACGCACGCACGCACGCACACACACACACAGAATACTGTCAAAATCAATTGACAGCTCATTATCAATTGTCAAAATGAACAATATAAAACTAAACTAGTAAAACTAAATATAATATATGAAACTAAACTGGTTCACAACATCGTCAAAAATGAACTATGTTCCTATTACGTATATTATATGACATGGATGTAAACTGCAAGGAGAGGTTATAATTCAAGTTTTTAATATAAGTACCAATACAGACATTTAGACATTACATGATGGCAAGTAAGTTTAGTAAAGGCCTTTTTGACACACAGTTTGACTTATCATAGTAGGAGAAGTATAGGTGTAACTAATAACATTAACAACTGACTGTTCTTTTTACGTGTCTAAGTGAACCATGACAGAGTGACAGTGAGCTAGCATGGACAATACCAGGACCCTGACACTGGGGCAGCTAAATGGAATTTAGCCTCATTAATTTTATTATTCACACCTGTGCTTTTCTTAAGTGCACGCTAGCTTACTGGTGTGGCTTACTACAGAACTTAGATATCACAGAGCCCTAATTAACAGTATTAGCTCCACATGTGATTTTTCTGCTTGGACAGGCCAATTTTTCTGCAGTGAAATTAGAAGAAAAACAAAATAAGTGGGCCTAAATAAAGACACTCAATAAATGTATCATATCCACCTCTAGATTCAATTGTAATATTTAAACTTATTTACATTTTTCTACTTTTAATAAATCACAATGTTAGATTTTTTTAAAAAAATCCAAGGATTAATCTGTCTATTAAGAAAGTTGTGGGCACATTGCTTAATTCCCTCTTCAGAATTTTTCAATGTTTGCACACTAGTGTATGCATTTTTACTGTTTAACAGAAATCATAACATAAAGTTTGATCTAAAACACCACAAAAATAAATAAGTAAGAAATTTTAAGTACATTCAAGTGTTAAAGACAGCCCATATGATATATGATCAAATACTGTATTTTTACATAAATCCTGTTAAAAAAGACACATGTTTCTGATTTATATTAAGGCTGCTCTCTTGTGAAGCAGTATTTGTGTGAAAGCCATGTCTTGAACAGTTGGTTTCAGTCTGAGTCACTGCTACTGCTGCTGCTGCTGCTGCTGCTGCTGCTGCTGCTGCTGCTGGAGTACTGTGGAGAAAAAGAGAAAAATTACATTTTTAATTTCATTTGGACGGCTTTGTAATTGAACCTATTTTTCTAAATCCCACCCTTCTGTTAGTTTCATCTATAAAAAACTAAACCACTGCTGTATGTTAAACTCCTGAAAGCACCAGCCTTAACTGAACCTGTAAAAAACCAACATGCAAGCTTTATCTTAGATAATCAAATGCAGAGTGAAAGAGATGTTTCGAAAGAAGATTAACTGGACTAACTGGAATTAGCTGCAGGGTTATATTAAACACACAAGGTGTAGAGAAGGAATAGCATTACTATCCCTCAGTTATGTTTATAATGTATTGTTTTGTCTGTGCTCACACAAGCAAGTATCATGTTTTATAATATAAACTAGTGACTGTTCATCTTAATGATGATAAGATCAAATAATGATCATATATATACCCATATAGTAGAATGGAAATCATTTTAAATCCCAACAGTACTGTGTTTCAATGCCTGTGTCGCACTTTGTGCTTGTTGATTCATGACTGCAATTATGTGTTAAGTGGTGAAATGAAGTTGGAGGTCAGGGTTTTTTTTTTTTTTTAGCTAGTATTGGCATTAATGTTCCACCTACAGGAGGGGCCATTTCAAACTACTCTTACAGTTTACCTTTAAAACCCAATCTCACCTTGCCATGTTTGTAGTACCCATTGTGCCACTTATGTGCTTTCTTCTTCTTCTTCTTCATCTTTTTGTGGGCTTTGTGTCCAACCGTCCCCATAACCATTGCTGTCAATCCTCCGGCTAACGGCCCAGACATGGGATTCATCCCTACATGATGATGATATTTGTAGTGGCCATGATAGTGACCCCATTTTGGAGCGTGTGGGTATGGTTTTGGGTGAAAGCCTACAGGAGGGATCATTGGATATCCACCTGGAGCCATAGGGTAACGATGAGGTCCTGGAGCTCCATAACGCATCACTCCAGGAGGTGCATTCGGTACCATAGCTGGGCTCATACCAGCTGCGTAATAGCCAGGTGGGTACTGGCCAGGTGGGTACGCTGGATTTGGAGGCTGAGGGAAGACTCCTGGAGGAGGTACAGCAGGATATGCAGGGTTGTAACCAGGAGGGTAGGCAGGGTTTGGTGGTCCCACTGGAGGGGGAGGTCCTGATACGCATAAAAGCACATACACACCATATTTTTTAGAACACTTGTATTATAATACTGGTATAAAAAAAGTAATTAAATATTATAATTATATGTGTGTTATATCCCACCTTGATTTGGCCACATGACCTGACAGGTCAAACCTGGTGAAACTGTGAGAAATTAAATGCAATGAATATTTAGTAAAAACAATGTTCAACCAAAATATAGTTTCCAATATTACAATCCTATAAAACTGATTTCTGCAGTCAATTAACACTGATTAATTCTGTCAGTTGTTTATGACACTTAAACGATAGTGAAAAATGAACATAATTTCCCAAAGCCCAAGAATTAACAGAGTGTTCACAAATAAAATCTGAAAAAAATAGGTCTAATTAACTGTTCCATACACATAATCACTGTTTATCAATGGTTAGATCTCACAGGCTTACCTTGGAAACTTGCCTCAGGTTCTGGAGAAGTTTGTCAAGAAATCAGACTAAGCACTCTCTGTGTTTGTCTTCCACACTGAACTGAACACCAGCAGCAATGAAGGCATCAGGAAGTCACGCCCGTTGTTAAAGGCTACGCACATTATTTACGTAATGGAGAAATTCCTGTAGGCTTTGAATCAGAAGCCGATCTACAAGTTTCTATGGTACAAAACACAATGGTAATAGAATGACACGCAGAGGACACACACACAAAACCACACACATACAGCTGGCTTGAAATGATTGTTAACACCTGTGAATCATATACTCCAATGTCACACATACATCCATTACATGGATCAACAGTTTTGTAAACAGCTGGTCTCACAACACAGAGCTTTTCTATTGTTTTAATTATTCCATCTTTACAAAAACAACAAAGATGTTGATCAGAAAAACTAAATACTTTATTTAGGCTCAACAGTTTTTATACAAATACCAACACAGACATTTAGACATTTCATGATAGAAAAAGCACTGCTGCAATTAATACCAATAATGATGGCTGCATTCACCTTAGATGTGTCAGTTTCCAGGATACAGCAGTTTGATTGTAGGAGAAGCACAGCTGTTACTAATAACATTAACGATGACTCTGTTCTGTTGATGTGTCCCAGTGAACCATGACAGTCTGACGGTGAGCCGACATGAACAATACCAGGACCCTCGCCTCGTTAATTTCATTATTTACACCTGTGCTCTTCTTACTATGACATGAAACAAAAATGCGATTTGTGCATGCAAGCTTACTGGTGTGGCTTACTAGAGTACTTAAATATAACAGAACTCACTTTGCTGCTATGACAAGCCAAAAAGCCTATTACTTTAATTTAACTAGTAGCTGTAAGTATATATTTTTTGATTATTATTATCTAAATACAAAGCAAAAATTATACATCACAGTAACATAAAATTGGGCGCATTTCTTTTCAATCTCAATAATTTACTGACAATGTATAATGTACCTGGATTCAAATTTATTAACAAAATTGTAAGTACCTAATGGAAGGAAAGCGAGTAATAGATCCTTCTGATTAAAAACTCTGATAAAAGTAGTGGCACAAAGAGAATAATGCAAATGCCTAATGTGTAGACTACAGCAATGTTAACCTGGAGGAAAAAAAAGAAAAGTCATGGAGAGAAACAAGACTGAAGAGAGACTAATCTGTCTGCAACACACTGAGCTGTCAGTCGAGCATCCGGGTCACAGTCCCAGCAATCGGTCAGGAGCTCCTGTAGTGCAGATCCCTGAAAAGTCAACACACACAAACAGTGTTTCAGGTCACTGAAACACAAAATACAAAAACTATATGTCCAAGTAAGAAGCACCTGTGTAGGGATACCTGTGGTAACAGCCCCCAGTGTTCAGGTATGGAGAGTCTCTTGTCCATGTTAGACACGTACGTGATGAGACTCTCCAGTGTTACATTACCTCCCAGCTCAGATTCATAAGGTAACAGATGCTCTGGAACAATACTGCCTGCAGGTGGAGACATTGGTATGAATTTTAACATCCTTATTATCATACTGGAGATAAGGTATATGCAGTGTACAGAGATGCAGGGTTAAAACAGAGCAGTAATCCTGACTAAATAAATGATTTCCTACTTGCACAATCGAAAAAACAATGCCTGAAGATCATTCTCCTTCCTGTTAAGAACATTTCAGTTTCAAGAGCACCTAAAGGTTTCCTCTTACTGCATGGGAAAATGTTATAACAAATTGAATCATTTTGCTTCTGTAGTCTTTTTGGATGTGATTGTTATTAGAAAAATAGGTTATAAAATAACTATTATGATGCATGTCGTTCTTGACAGATTAAATGCGCATAACTGACTAGAATTACTGTGAATTAAAATAGCATTTTCAAGGGTGAAGAGAGTGCACACTCATCTCAGTTACAGATGGTTTTTCATTGAATATTCTCGTTTTTTTACCTGATCATTCTGAAAGGAAGTTTACCTTCAAATAAGTCAGAGCAGCGCATCCAGATCTCCCACAGAAGCAATCCCAAAGCATAGATGTCCCCCTGCATGAGACACAAGCTGCTGCCGAGGTTTACAGAGCCTTCCAGGAACTCAGGGGGCATGTAGCACAGTGTGCCCAACTGAGGATGACCCAGTAGATGGACAGAAATGTGAAATTCTTTAGTGAGCTTACAGTTCCCTTTTTCATGATTTCGCTGCACTGTAAATTAACAGTAGTAAGTTGCGGCTCCACTCAAGTCTCACCTTCATGTTTGCCGTGCTGCTCTGCCAGCTGTGAGGACCTGAGCAAGAACGCAAGATGGTGGAGCATCCAAAATCACACAGGACACAGGTGCCATCAGCTCTCACAAGCACATTGGAGCTGCTGAGGTCTCCATGGGCCACAGGCGGTTTATGCTCATCTGCAAGAAAAGAGACACATGGGTGGTAACAAAGAACCTCAGAGTAACAGATAAATGCTTTAAGGAACCATTGAAGCTGGTTAACATCTCTGTTCATGAGTCTACCGTACGGAATATGCAAAGAGCACCTTGACACTCCACATGGTCTGATGAAACTAAGGTTGAATTGTTTAGGAAGAGCATGCAGCTCTATATGTATGGTGTAAGGCGGAGGTTCACCTATTCTTTCCACCAGTACTGTGGATGTTTAATGGCTGTGTTCAACACACAGACACAAAAGATTATATAATTGTTTGTGTGATATTAGCTTAAGCACATTCTGTTTGTCTGTACTTGGGAGTTACATGAAAATCAGATCACATTTTCTGACCAATCATTCTGGCCATTACCATAGTTGCGAAGGTCAGAGTGGAGATAGGAAAGTCCCTGCGATAAAGACTGGCACAACTTCAGTGACAGCATCCAGTTGGTGGTGTGTTCACACAGAAAGGAATGGAGAGAACCCTGAAATCAGAGGGACACTGATGCACAACAATATGAACCTTAAAGAGTTTGGCCACATTGGCTTCACATATCGGCTATAATAAAGATATGGGTGTGAGAGGTTTTTGCAAGATAGACTGTAGGTATGTTCAAAGTCAGTGTAATCATGTATGGATGGTATCCACCTCGACAGTGTGCATGCAGCTCTCAACAGAAGAAATGCTTATTATCCTGATCAGAACAATGGGAACACACTGGTCCATAGATATGAAGTGACTGTAAAGTTACATGCGCCCTTTATATGGAAGCAAAGAAAGGCAGCTGATTTTTCAATTTGAATGTTGGTGTATGAAGTTCACCAGTGTTATGTGATGTTGTGAATTGACTTGAATTTTAGATCTGAAAATGACCAACTGAATCTGAACAACTTGAATTAGTTTTTTTGTAATATTGGACAATTCGTTAAAAAAAAAAACAATACTTAAAATCAAGTTTTTGAAAGTGTAGAACTTGAAATTGTCTACTAGAAATATGAAAGGAGAGAATTCACACAACTTAAATTCAGATAAACAATAAGAAATATTTGAATGATATAAATTCAGTGGTATTCAAATTTCAACATTTGGAATTTAAGATTAGGTATTCACTTTCTTATAAGAGACAAATACTTATGGCCGTTCTCTGCTTCGTCACCCTGACTCCTTCTCCCTGTTCCTTGAATAACTTTTGATGTCTTATAAAACAGAAAAACGCACAACTCATTTCCATGGTTGCCACTTACATGTTCAGCAAACTGCAAAAGAATGAGCCAACTACCATCCGGTTTCCTCCCAGTGCCCAGGAAGTGGAGAATCCCAGCATGCTTCATCAGTGGTAGCTCATAAACCTCCTTCTCTGCAGTAAATTTATGTTCCCAGCCTGCAGGGAAAACTTTCACAGCCACCATGGATCCTTGGTATTTCCCCTGGCAAACAGTTGCAAAATACCCACAGCCCACAATCTGAAAAATGTATAAACATATGGGTAAAAGTCTGTCTGATTTAACAATACTTTGCACAGTGCAAATCATACATTATAAATCCATTTGATATCTAGGCTTACCCGCTGTAGTTCAATGTCGTCTACATCAATCTCAGAGGTTTTTGTTGTTTGGCAGGAACACAGCGTTGAGACACTATAATCACGAGGGCAGGCTTGTTGATTCTCCTCTAAAATAATGAAAGTAGATGAGTCTTGTAATTCAAACTGACTCCTTGAAGGTAATAAAGTCACATTTCATTTTAAAATTGCCTGGCTGAATAGCAACCAACAAGACAGAGAAAATCTGATTGAAGAGTAACAAAGAGAGGACACAGGTAAAAGGGAGTATTATAGCAGAGAACACCAAGGTCAGTCCAGCACAAAGAGTGAAACACTTCCAAGGTCAAACAAAGACATCATGAGAACAGAATCTGCATTTAAAAAATGTGGAAACGTGGCTGAAGAATGTTTTTCTCTGATCCTTTGAAAAGCAGAGAGGATATTTGATACAAAACAACACAAATTGAAAATGAAACTCATATTCTAGTGAAAGTAATAGAGCTGAATACAAAGCTTACTTTTGTTTCTGAAGAGGCATTTGGCAGCAGTGATCATGAAGCACAGGACGAGCAAAGTTCCAATCAGAATCATTATACCAACTTTAATGAATTCCCCTATAAAGACAACAAAAAGCAATATTATTTCAAAGTTATATAACTTATATAAGAGTTAATATTTTCTGTGAATGATGAATAGCGCCCATTTTAATGCAGTACATTTGTCAAATTAATGTATAACTATGTGAGAGGAAACATATTTAATTTATGTGCAATCTGATAGGAAGAGTAAGTCTAAATTTGTACTAATTAAGTGAGTATAGCATGTTGAAAATACTATGAAAGGAAACACAGCAATAGCTTTAGTATAATCTTTTTTCAGCTGAACTGAGTTTCAGATTTTCAAAATAAAGACAAGGAAAATCTTTTTGGAGGAGACAAGGGTGGAGGTACGGCGGTAGATGTCTTCTGTAACAATGATAACATATCTCACTCTGGTAAAAATGTCAGAATAATATTTCATGACTATGTGGGTTGCACTTGATAGTCGACGACTGGATAGCAATATTATTATGATCATACCTTCAGAATAAGAGGAGGTGAGTCGAGGCTGCTCTGAGTGAGGGGCCCAAGTGACGTTGCTATTGCAGAGGTCAGTGTTGCAAACACATTTAATGACGTGACTGTTAAGCAGTGTTTGTGCTTTGCAGGTTGCATCTGGGCAAGACTTTTCAGCCACATCACAAGCTGCCAAAGAAAAATCAGTAACACAATAGACAATTTAAAGAAAACATAGAACAGAGAACTACACTATGCCTATAGACTCAACTATGTTTACTACATATTAGACCAAATAAATCACAACAAGTAACCAATATCAGCTCTGATATTGATTGGCTTTGAGACTTCAATTAGATTTTAAATCAAGTGCATAAAAAATGTTTATGACTCTTTATAATGGCACAACAACAATCCAGCATGTGGTCAAGTCCAATTCATAAGCACCTAATGAGATTTAAGGTCTCTCACCAAGGACGTCGACCTCTGGCCGGCCGTTGATGATCAGAAAATATCCCACACAGCAGTGGGTGTTCTCACAGACCTGCACTGAGCCACTCACATTGCCAACAGTCGTGTATTTGTAGTTCTGTTGTGTATTTGTCGTTCTGTTCACTTGGAATACACACCATCTCTTCTGAAGTAAAAACTGGTTGGACATACAGATAAAGATGCATTCTGCGGAAGAGGAGGAAAGACTCTTAAGCTGATTGTCTACCGTTGCACTCACAGTTTGTCTTTCTGGTGAGCAATATTTTCTAAATGCTTCCTTAAAATAATAGCTACCAGTTACAGTTACAGAAGGACTAACCTTCTTTTATGATGAGAGGATTTATTGGTGACAATATCACTTATAACATTATTACAATTTTTGAATTTATTTACACAGGCAATCAACTTCATTGTATTGAGCTGAAACAAGTAGACTTACTCAATAGACAGAGTGCACATATCTATCAAACTGTAACCACTTAAGCTCAGTCGAAAGTTTGCCTGTAGATTTAATATTATGACTTGGTCCTGGGTGGTTTTTATGTGGGTAAGTCAAGAAGAGACCCAGATGTGCATCTTATCAGGAGCCTCAATAGACACAGCCTACGCGCACTCGTTTACTGCTTTTACACTGTTAATCTGTTGTGCTCATGGGCTTGTTGATACAGGTGATATGATCCGCCAATAAATATTAAATATATAAATATATAAATATTAAATACTTCATTTTCTAAATTCAAAATTTTCATCATCTCATATAGTTTTGTGAGGTGATGAGGGTGACTGTAAAGTTTAGGAGTCACAACAGACACACGTCTAAGCTGGCACTAAAACTGTAAAATAGAAGTCAATAATCTTCCAAAAACATCAAAAAGCAGAAGGAAATGTGCACATACATCTTAAGAGCTCCAGAGGAAGCTCATTAATATTTTTTTAGAATAACAAGTGTACTCACCAACAGCCAAAATCACCCGCCACCGTTCCATGATCATGGTCCCTCTGAGACCAGAGGGGTCGAGCAGGGAGTGTTCTGGGAATGTGAGAGGAGTTTCCCACGTTTCACAGCATCACTCCCACTGCCACACACCTGCATGTGCTACACGTCCTGTCTGCCAACAGTCTGTGGGAATACTGAACATTTATCAACATAATCATCTCCCACTGTCTAGGAATATCATCTGCAGTCAAGTGGGGGTGTTGCAGCCGTCTCACTTCTTTATGGCCACAGGTTAGCTTAGAGCACCTTTCAGACAAATTCACTGGGGCCACAGAAGGAAGCATTATAATTCAGTAACAGCATCCATGATTTTTGATTTTTTTTCCCCCTCTTTATTATAGTCCCTCAACCACATATGGAATTTTAAGGATTTGCACCAAGATAAGAACTGATTAAATGTTAGGAATGACAACACTAAAAACACTCCAAACTGAGTCACAGTCATGAGATATTAAATCAAAGTCATGGCTTTAAATCAAAATTGCAATATCTGCAGTCAAATGTATGACACACTATGTGAAAATTATGAGATATTTGGTGAAAATTATTACTTTTAGATAGTAATATGAGCCCCAATAGTAAACTTTTTAGCCACACACACTGGCAGCTTGGTTCTAGGGATGGATTGCCATGAAATTTTGTAGGCATTCATGATCCACAGAATGAATCCAAATGATAATGATGGGTTATGATCAAATACCTGCATAACTGATGACATTTCCACCAGGCTCAGCTGAACTCAAGTTTTGATAATATAATAAACATAATCATAATTTTATCTTAAAAGTCTGAATTTTGACCTCCTCCGTTTTAACCTGAGGGCCAAAATTAAAATTTTTCTAATTACCTCAAGACCACCAAGGAGGTTATGTTTTCGCCCATGTCTCTTTATTTGTAAGCAGAATTACATAATAAGTAGCCTACCGAACTGATTTGTACTGAACTTGGTGGAGTAATGGGACATGCATGGGCCTGGGAAGAACCTATTAAATTTTCAGCAAATCTGTATCATTTAGTACCATGAATTTGAATTTTTTTATGAAATCTGTTATATGTTGTATGATATTGGGGTGATGTGATTGCCCTTCTAGTTTACATCATTTATTGTTATACATTTAACTTAGAGTCCCATAATTCTTACTTAATTTACCATGAGTAAATTTATCCTAACTTTGCTTTCACTTTCCTTTCTGGTGGAAATGGGCCTCAATAAACAAACTCCGTGAACTCACTTTTGTTGAGACTCCAATCGAGTACGTTATGGAAGAGAAAGCATTTAAAAAAAAAAAATCTCTATCTACTGTTTAATTCACGAGTTTAACCCGAGAATTTCATAAAATTTAAAGACAAGTGGTGTTGTTTTTCTGTTTTCAAAGGCGGCATGTTCAGCTTTTCAGTTCACTCCTGGAGTGCGGAGTTTTTACTTAAAAAGGAAAAAGAGAAAAGATATTACCTAGGCTAGTCGGTGCTCTGTGCGCTGCCCCAAGATTCAAATCAAGCGCATCCAATTTTCAATCAGATTAATTGGACAGGGCGGGCGGGCCTAACCAAAACTCAGAAGCTAGCATTTGTCAATAGTCCACGTTAGTCACGAATATAATGGTAAAGTAACGTCGTACTTGTTCGTTAATCATTATAATGTGTTAAATCTAATTTTGTTGATATGTTTTTCTTCAGGCAGGGGTTTTAGCTGATGTTTTTGCGGAAGACTCTGAAAGTGAGAGAACATTTTACGGCTTTTCTGACAGTGAACTCAGCGATAAGGTGCGTTTGGCTTCAGTTAAGGCCTTCACATCCCCAGACACAGCATAAGATACTGAAGGGATTCAATGAGGCCTTAGATTCAACTGTGGTGGACATTTAGTTCGGTTACGTCATGATTTATCGCTGTCGAATCAAGAATACATTCACTGTAATGATTTGTCATGTGTAGCTCATTCATTGTCACTTCAATATAGCTGAGAGACTGTTTTTATTTTCTGCTATAACAAGGCGTTTTGACAGAAACAGATCAATTCTACTGTGAATACTAATACTATCGTTTAACATTAAGAGTTGTGTCACTTGCCAAATGAGAAATCACCTCTGTTTACGTCCAGCAGAATTCAAATTTTGAAGATGAAGCCCAGAGTGACCTTTCCACCGAGAAGCAGAAAGCCACATCTAAGTCATCTGCTGGCCCCCGGCCCTTCCGGCTGAGGGTGGCACTCCGCTCCACTCCCTCCACCACCAAGCAGTCCACTGATGAGGAGGCAGAAGAGGAAGGAAAGAGGACAGAAAAGAGAGGGGCGAAGAAGTCAGGAAAGACCAGTCAGAGACGTGTTAGATATGAAGATGCGGAGGCAGCCGTGGCTCGGCCATCTCCTTCTGAAGAGCGGGGATCTGATTCAGCAGAGGATGTGTCAGATTCTTTCTTAACTAAGAGAGAGCAGAACATCAAGGCTAACAAAGCAATGGTAAACCAGCAGCACAGAGCCACTTACAGTATAGTTGTATTTGTAAACTGGAATATAACAAAGTATTTAAAGCTCAGGTTCCCAAACAAGCACCCTAGAATAAAGTTCAGGGAATTGTGATATTGGCGTCATGCAAAAACTACTTTTAGTCGAGTTCAAGTGCTGTTAAATTTGCCCTTCCACAGTGGGTCAAGATGTTTGTCATCTGCCATGTCTCTAATGCTTTTTATCTTCTCTGTTTTCTGACAGCTGGCTCAGCTGATGGCAGACCTGCAGAAAATGCCAGGAGGTGCAGGGTTTCTGAAAAAACAAGCAGGCAAACAGAAGACAAAGGAGAAAAGCTCTGTGAGTAGATGGTGATGGAAAAACAGGCAACTGGTAATATTTAAAATGATGAGAAGTGGACAGAAATGTAGCATCCCACCCCACATTTTGATGAAAGTCTCCACTAAACAAAAGGTGATTCGACATACTCAGCTAGTGGCCAAAATCTTTTTTCTTTCTCTTCATGAGTTGGTCAGTAAAGCCCTGAATATCAGTATTTCTTTGCAGACCAATGCACTCTAGTGATTTTATTCAACCTCACCTACAGCGTCCACCACGCTCTGGTGCAGCTGGAGGAGAGTCCAGGAGGAACCCAGAGCGGGCGTCCCGCAGACAGACCCGCTCGATGGGGGGATGTGAGGATCCTTCAGCCCCCAAGGAAGAAGAACTTGAGGTCAGCTTGGAGGAGCTGCTGGAGGTCAGTTCTGTCATTTGTCATGGACAAGGTGGAAATATTAAGAAAAGTACTGGGAGCCTCCACAGTTATTTGTTTATTCATATCTTACGTGTTTGCTCAACAAATTATGCATTTAGCTTTTCTTTTTAGAAATGTAAACATGTTTGTTTATGAAACTACAATAAGAATTTGACACCTATTTTTCTCATCCATTTTGTATTTTTTTTATCTAATGTATAATGAGAAATAACCATGTGTTAGTCTTGTGTAGGTCTTTATTTAGCTGACTATATTTTGTCAATTTCTGTGTGAAACTTCAAGCTAAACAGATCATTATTTTCACCTGTGTGTTCCAGGTGCGCCGAGCGCCGCAGCGCCGTGGCACCCCACGGCCTAAACAGTGCAAACCTCATTTTATCCGTCCTGTGGACGACATCACAGAGGATGAGCTCCAGCTCGTCGCAGACAACATGACTGATAAAGTCTACAACAGTGTCACAGTGAGTTCACAGCCAGACTCTACCTGCCGCCAGTGAGATATAAGGGAATGGCACAGTATACTGAGAGATTTATGCCAGTATGTGGTTAGTTTCTTGCCAGATCAATTATCCCAGGGACCACTAACAAAATCCCGGTGGCAGCTTTAGGAAAAAGGTTGACAAGTGTTCTAAAATGTAATAAAACCATCAGTGTACCTGTGCACCAGCTTCGTTGTTGATGGCTCTTTGTGTATTTTCAGGGCTCCACATGTCATCAGTGCCGTCAGAAGACTGTTGACACCAAGACTTGCTGCCGCAGTGAGGAATGTCGTGGGATTCAGGGTCAGTTCTGTGGGCCGTGCCTGAGGAACAGATACGGAGAGGACGTCAGGAAGGCGCTGCTCGATCCGGTCAATCTGCTAATACACCAACACACACTCCACACCTGTATGTTAGTGCTGAGATTGACACATTAAAAAGGCTATGTAGAGAGATTTTGGGGGCATTATTGTTTGTTTTCTGTCATTCTTTGACCGGTATGATTGTGAAAAAGGTAGTGAACTACATTTTCTTCTGTACTGAAAAGGTCGTAGATTTAATTTTGGCAATACTGCAGAAACCCTAGTTTAACCATTTGGTCGTGTTTTGTTTTTTTTCAGGAGTGGAAGTGCCCTCCCTGTCGAGGCATTTGCAACTGCAGCTTCTGCCGCCAGCGTGAGGGCCGCTGCCCAACTGGCATCCTGTTCCCCTTGGCTCAATACCATGGCTTCTCTGATGTCCACTCCTACCTCAGCAGGTGGGGTACTGCACCATAAGACTATATTTGATAAATTAAGGTGTTCTCAAATGGCTGACTACTTACAGAGACACAGAATTTAAGTAATCCTTTTTTTTTTTACATCAGAAAATGATATGCAAGTGCATAAGGAGACACTCCAGCGAAGTTGTCTAGGTTGGGTCATTCAGACCAGGAATTTGACTTATTAAGCTGTATCAAAAGCCTAGTTATTATTCTGCTTAACTCAAGTGTGTTAGAAACAGACAAAATTCCTAAAATGTATTATTTCTCTCTTTACAGCCTCCGGAACAAACTGAAGAGTGAGGATGATGATGTGGAGATGTGATTTCAACACTGGGGGGAGCAATTGTTCAAACTGTGTTATGTTCTGTGTGTTAAAGTTTTTGTTTTTAGTTATTGTCAAACATATACAACCTGTAATTTTAAATGAATAAAGTTTTTTTTTTTTTTTGGTCATCTAATTGTTCTGTCAGATTGAGGCACAAGTTTGTAAAGAAATGAGACAAAGTATATTCATAATTTTAATCCAGCTGTTGGCATTTGCAGTAGTTGTTTACACACAATATAAAATCCCTTATTTAAAACGGGGTAAAAAGAAAAGTAAGAGCACTTGTTGTTTGAACTTACTCTAAAGAGAGTTTCAAAGGAAAGTTTTTAAACACTTTACACATGTTACAAATGAATTATGTAAAATTAAGCAGAATACTGAAGCAAAGAAAATAATAGTGAGAAAGATCTGTTCAGAAAAACTGATGTAACCACTAAGTCACCTTTTGCAACTTATTTATTTAAACAACAAAGGGATGTGTGTCCGAGGTTTGCCTCAAGCTGGATCTTTTCCAGTTAGAACTTTAACATATGCATATCAAGAGTAAAAATTATTAGAAAGTCCATGGACCAAAGAAGGATTTCCTAGTTTTTCTTATAAAATGAGTATGAACCTTTGGTTTTGAGCTTACAAGTTTATGCTGTCAGGACATAACAAAATAATTCACTCTGACCAGATATGACTAAACAAATAGTTTTCCGCAGAAAGAAAATAGAAACCAACATGACTGCAAGGCAAAGTCTCAGAAGATAAGCATACCACAGAGGAAGTAGTACTGGGAAGATCTGGACTGTATAGAAAACATTCTATGACAGAGAGGCTCTTAAGTTTACACATTTCATCTACATATATATATAAAAGTAATAACATAAGATTAAGATTGATTGTGCATGAGAGGTTCATACAACTGAAAGGCATTCTCTTGCAATCATGTAAGATGATCCTGCCTATGCTAAGTATATCTGTAGCCTTTACATTACCAAAAATATATATATATACATAGAAACCAACATGACTGCAAATGGCAAATGGTCTCAGAAGATAAAGCATACCACAGAGGCTACACTGTAGTCTGGGGAAAGATCTGGAC